CCTAACTGGCTGCCTTTTCCTGTCCCCAGGTCGCCAAGAAGGTGGGCTGCCCCCAGGATGACCCCACCAGGATGGCCAAGTGCCTGAAGGTTGCCAACCCCTGGGCCCTGACCTTGGCCTACTTATATCCCTGGGAAAAACAGGAGTGTGAGTGTGGGCTTTCAGGTTGACCCCTCAGGGTTCCTGGAGCCAGGATGTCCCTGCTGGGTGACCCACGTACCCACAGAGGAGCGGACTTGGAGCACACGGTCTCACCCTGTGGCTAATCCCTTGGGCCCCCGGCGGCTTGTATGGAGCCCTGGGTCACCCCAAGGGGTAAGAGAAACTGAGCTGATATTTGTTTCTGTTCCTATCCTCTGAGTCCCCAGTGACTGCTTGAGAAGCTGATGAACTTGTGCTCCCTGCAGACCCCCAGCACGGCCCAGGTTGGCAGCGCCCGCTCCCACTCTTAGGTGGACTCCCAAACCCGAGACCCAGCGGCCGCTGCATGTGGCTCCATCTTTCCTTCTTCCCTCCCTCATTCCTCTGGCAAACATTGTTCCCCACCTGGGGTGACACTGGGCCTTTCCAGCAGGACCCAGGGCGCCCCAGCAGTGCCCTCCCCTACTGGGTAAGACGCGTCCCTCTTGCCCTCTCCTCAGCCCAAGCACCCTGAAGCCCCAACATTGCCATCTGTACCCAACGGGCAACGAACCCGAAGTCTTGGCACAGCACAGCCAAGGAAGTAGCACAGCCCCAGTGCAAGCTCCCCATGCTTCATTTCTGTTCCTGGAGCCGGGATCCACCCAGCCTGGTGCACCTGAGCTCTCTGCCCCTGGGCTGGGTTCCTGGCCCCAACACCCAGCGCTGTTTGGAGTCTGCTGCGGAAAGCAGCACGGGCCCCAAGGGAAGCTGTGGGCCGCCTTCCCGACTCAGCTACCTGTTGTGCTAGGGACAGCTGAGGGTCTGCAGGGCGAGACTAGCCATAGATGTTCGATAGTTTCCAAGGTGACCCTGACCCTGGGAGAGGGTGTCACCTTTCTTTTCACCTGCAGATCTTTGCTGCCCTTAACAGAAGACGGGTGAGAAGAGAGGGAGGGGAAGCAGGACTGGCACTGAAGCAAAGGGACAGACCTGGCCCTCAGAGCTGTGCACTTATCCTGAGGGACCGCGCAGCAGCATCTGGGCACACTGATGCTTGTCACCAGGGGAGGAGCGGCACTGCTGGCACCTGGTGGGCTGCAGCCAGGGACGCAGCTCAACCCTATCCTAGGGCAGTCCTCCGACTTCAGGACTCTGCAGCTCTGGGTCCTTGCCCTTCACCAGGCCTCCCTGGACCAGGCTGAGAAGGGAGCAGCACAACTCTGGATAGAAAGGGAGGCAGGATGTGCTAGAGGTGCCCAAAGCTGCGGGCTGGCCTCCCAGATCCTTTGTTTTACTAGCTGGGCCTTCATCTTGTCGTCGATGGAGACTTCATTCCCGATGACCCGCTCAACCTGTTTGCCAACGCTGCTGACATTGACTACCTCGCAGGCACCAATGACATGGATGGCTGCTTCCTCGCAGCTCTGGACATGCCCAGCATTCAGGATTCCAACAAGAATATCACAGAGTAAGCACAGAGCTAGGATCCAAGAGCAGCCCTTGCTTGGGGACAGTGGGAAGGAGCACCCTGGGGAGTCTGCCCCAAAGGGAGAAGACATCGGAAGGGGAGAATGAGGCAGTGGGGCGCGTTGGGGTGGATGTGCAGACCCTCCTGGTGGCTGAGGGGCAGAGTCGAGTGCCTGTTTGGTCCCTGCAGTGAGGACTTCTACAACCTGGTCGCTGGGTTCACCATGACCAAGGGCCTGGATGGTGCCAGGGCCGCCTTTGACATCTACACCGAGTCCTGGGCCCAGGACAGTTCTCAGGAGACCAAGAAGAAGACAGTGGTGAACCTGGAGATGGACATCCTCTTCCTGATGCCCACAGAGAAAGCCCTGGCCCAGCACAGAGCCAACGCCAGGTGAGGGCCTGGGAAGAGGGTGGCGTCCTGGGGCGGGTGTCCAGGGCGCTGCCCCTCCATGCCGTGAGTCCATGACAAGCCACCCGAGGTCTGAGCTTCCCCGACCTGGAGAGAGGGAGGCGCTGAGGGCCCCTGCCCTGTGCACCACCCTTATCCTCGAGAATCAGGGCCAGAACCGTGTCTGGAGCACTGGGGCCCAGGTCTTTTGCTGGCAGGAACCAGCACTCTGCTCCTGACCAGCCTTGTCCAGGAGCCTAGCTGGGAGGTGTAGCCAGCTGGCTTTTGGTGGAGCAGCAGGGCCATTGGGGGCACTGCATGAAATCGTAGGCACAAGAATTTGAGGGACGCAAGAGCCCGGCTCCAGGAGGCCGGGGGCTTGTGCGGAGGCCCACCACAGCCTCACGGCTGCATCTGGGATCTTTGTAGACGGGGAACCAGCAGGCAAAGCAACCTGCAGCTGATGGCAAGGATTCCCACAGGATTCCAGTCTAAGGGAAGGAGAGGCTGCAGTCCCTGGGAAGGTCGGAGCGGGCGGAGTCCTGCTGGTCCCCAGGTTGCCGCTCTCCTTCAGGCATCCGCTCTTCCATTGTGCAGTCGGTCTCTTTGCAATTTTCTTCACTTAGTGCCCAATTCCAGCATGTGACTTGGAATCTCCAAGTTTCTATTTGGTAGTTGGAGACCCAGAGACACAGCGGAAGCCGATCTTCTCCCAAAGCTGTCGAAAGACAGCTGCCTTCTTGTGTCATGAAATGGCCATTGCAAATGATATTTAAAACAGTGAAAAAATTCATATAACATAGACTGGAGCACACCTGTAGCCTCAGCACTTGGGAGGCAGAGACAGGAGAATTACAAGTAAGACGCCAGCTTGGGCAAGTCAGAGATCCTGTCTCAAAATGAAGTGTGATGGGGCTGGCGAGATGGCTCAGTGGTCTAAAACACCTACTTGGAACAAGCTTGGCAAAGCACAGGGACCGCGGTTCGATCCCCCAGCACCACATGCCAGCCAGCCGCGCCCCCTGGTGGGCTGAGCTGGCCACACACACACACACACACACACACACACACACACACACTAAATAAATAAACTTTAAAAAAAAAAAAAAAATGAAGTGTGAAAATGTTCCGGAAGCCAGCGAGGCAGACACCTACAGTCTCAGCACACTGGGAGGCTGGGCAGGGTATCGAGTATCGAGTCCAGCAAGGGAATTCATACATTATTTCAAAACAAACAAGCAAACCCCTCTTAAAAGGGCTGGGGATGTGGGTCAAGATAAAGGTCCTGGGTCTAATTCCTGTAAAACATATAGACACACACCACACGCAGCTAAACATAAACATTTTAAAAAGTAGATATAAATTCTCTTGGCCTTTAGGATTTCTCAGTGTTCACTCCCCCCTACAATAAACGTCCAAGCCTCAGCACAAGACACAAACAAACACACAGAATGAAAGCAGGAGGACACAGGCCAACCGAGCGTCTCCCAAAACTCCCTGGGGCCTGGGAGGGGGCAAAACAAGAAGCCCCGCACCTGAGTGACCCCAAGCAATAGCAACGGGAGTTCAGCAAGGCATCCGACAGGCTCGAGGAAGGTGTAAGGAGTAAAAGACACCAAGCAAAGGTTGAAGAGCTACACAATGAAAACCACGCAGGATCAGCACAGGAAACTGTGAGTCCCTAAAGCGGCTTCAAGTAAAAACTCAGAGCAAAAGTTTTACTGGAAGTATGGGCACCAGAAGGGACTAATGTGAGGACAAAGCCAGACACAGGCTTGATGTCACTGATCAGTTGAGAGATGCCACAAAAGCAACGGAGAGCTGGAAGTGGAGCCAGTAGCTCCTGGGTGACGTGAGGAACGCCAGGGGAAGACGGACTATGAGTGTTAAAAAAGGAGAAGGGAAGGGCCGACCAAATAGCTCAGCGGATTAAAGTGCCTGCAAGCAGGCTCAGGGGCTGGGGTTCAATCCCCAGCCTGCCATGCCGGCCCCACATCCCGGGGTGCACTGAGATGGCGATTGAGACTGGATGTGGTGGTGCATGCCTGTAATTCCAGCTCTTGGGAAGCTGTAAACAGGTGGATCACTATGAGTCTGATCTAGTAGTGAGACCCCGAACACCCTGTAGATCCTTCCCTAAAATTAAAACAAACAAACAAACAAACAGAAGGGAACACAAATGGCGTTTTTTTTTAAAAAAAAAAAACCTTTCTGGAAATAAAAGACAAAAATTTTCCAAATGAGGTAAAAGAATTCAACATACAGATAAGCGAAGTAAACCAAACCCCAGTTAGCCACTGTGTGACACATCATAGTCAAAATCCCAGAAATGCATCGCAGGAACAGAGTCAGGAAGGAGAGCTGCCAGGTATAGCCGAGTCTTCTACGCAAGCCTTAAAGGCTGAGGGGGCTTGGAGGGAAGTGTTTCGAGCTCTGAAAGAGAATAATTTCCAACCCGGCTGACATTTCTGGAAGATTAATCAAAATCGGTGGAGAAATAACACATTCATGATAAAACGCATCTCAAGAAATTCAAAGGCCACCAAACCAGTATTCCAAACATTCTCAGGGATACCTGGAAAGGGACCCTAAAAGCTGACAGTTAAAATAGTCTGTGAGAACCAATACCAAATAGGATGAGCCGTTAAGTAGATGGGAAACAGCCCCTCAGCAGCGGGGAGCGGAGGGGCAAGCCAGCGCCTCGCGGGGAATGGTCTCATTTCTCCAACCGAAAGACACAGACTGGCAGAATGGATCAAGAAACAGAACCCACCAGGATGCTGTAAGCAAGAAACACATTGGCCCCCAAAGGAACTCACAGACTAGCACATTAAAGGATCGAAAACAACATTCCATGGAACAGAAACTTGGAAAAGAGCAAGCGTGGCAATTTGAAATGTAGACCAAGTGCACTTCAAGCCAAAATTGATCAGCAGGGACAAAGAAAGTGGCCATGTATCAGCTCAAGCAACACCCCAGCGAGGAGGGGTAGCAATTATTCGCACGTATACACTGAGCAAGAGTGAACCTGACTTCATAAGACAGGTGCTACCGGATAAGACCTCAGATAAACACAAAGCCACTTAGAGTGGGGGACCTCAACACCCCACTAAAACAAGCAGATCACCGAGGCAAAATCTCAACAAAGAAATACCAGCTCGGAGCAAAACCTTTGAACAAACAGACTTCATAGATATTTGCAAAAGGCTCCACCCGACTACAGAGGGATGCACATTCTTTTTAGCTGGACATGGAACTTTCTACTAAATAGACCACATAGGGGCTGGTGAGATGGCTCAGTGGTCTAAAGCACCTACTTAGAACAAGCTTAGCAAAGCACAGGGACCGCAGTTCAATCCCCCAGCCCCACATGCCAGCCAGTCCCGCCCCCTGGTGGGCTGAGCTGGCCACACACACACACACACACACACACACACACACACACAAATAAATAAAATAAAAAAAAAGATTAAATAGACCACATAGGGCTAGGGAGATGGCTCAGAAGAATAAGTGCTTGCCTGGCAGGCACAAGGGCCTGAGTTCATTCCCTGCTTCTGAAAAAAAAAAAAAAAAAAAAAAAAAAAAAATAGACCACATACTAGCCAATAATCCACCACAAGTAAGTATAAAAGAATTGAAATTATGCCATGTCTATTACTAAACAATCTATTCTCAATAAACAAGGGCTACAAAGGAAATCAAGGGAAAACATGAGACAGTCTCTAGAACTAAAACATCCCAGAACTCACGGCACCCAGTGGAAAGGTCCCAAGAGCGAAGATGATGGCTGCGCGTGCCCAAGCCGCGAAACCAGAACAAGCCCACACGCAGCCCACCAGCGCACTGCATCTTCCCTGGAAGAAGGAGAACAGCGCCACAGGCAGTGCAAGGAAGAAAATTAGGCAAACCAAAGCAGAGAAAAGTAGAGAAAGTGAGAAATATAACACGACGAATGAATGATTTTAAGAGTTAGTCCTTCAGAAACAAAGTAGAGGGCGGGGGAGATAGCTCAGTGATCTAAGTGCCTGACTGGCAGGTGCAAGGGCATAAGTTCAATCCCCGGCACCACATGCTGTTTTAGCCCTGCTGGGGAGGCTGAGACATGAGATCCTTTATCAAATAAATAAATAAATACAACAAAGTAGACCAACCTTTATCCAATGTAGTCCACATTTTTTTAAAAAAGAAGAGAAGGGCTGGGGATATAATTTGTTGGCACAGTGCCTGCTTAGCAAGCATAAGGTCTTGATTTTGACTCCTGGTACTAAAAATAAAAATAAAAAAGTAGAGAAAAGACCTAAATCAATGCAATTAGAAATGAAAAAGATGAAATCACAATGGACATTGCCAAAAGAAAACCAAACTAAAAACTAAAACACTCTTCAGTACAATACTGCAGACTCTACACCAATAAACTGGAGAATTTCGAAGAAATGGGTAGATTCCTGCAGACATATGAATCACCAAAACTGAACCAAAAGGACTTCAAACCCTTGAATACTCAAAAAATGAACAATGAAATTGAAGTGGTGACAGTCCACCAAGTAAGAGCCCAAGACTGGACGGGGTCACTGCTGGCTCCTACAAACTCCAAGGGTTCTAACATCAATGCTCCTCAAATTTTTGAATGAAGATGGAAGGAAAGGAATACTGCTAAGGCCGTATGCAAGCTTCCATGACCCTGATTCTAAAACCACAGATGAGGATCTTGCCAAAAAAGAAACAGAGCTCAATCTCTTTAATGAATGAAGATGCAAAGGTACCAGCAAGCCAGCCATCAAAAAGATCACACGGCGTGACCAAGGAAGCTTTGTCCCAGGCATGCCAGGATGGTCCAGCGTACACAAGTCAACCAATGTCCTACGTGACATAAACAGAAACAAGGAGAAAGATCACACGGTCTGCTGAAGAGACAGACAAAAAACTTCTGAAAAATCCACCGTCCCTTGGCCGGGTAGACGGCTCTGCGATCTAAGCACTTGCCTGGCAAGCTTGAGGAC